TTGGCATATTTTCTGGGATGGAAAATTAAATAATTCTTTTTGTTTTGCGGATTTGGTGTATTATCTCAGCTTGTTTGTTGTTGGATGCGTTTTTTTTTGTTTTCATAAGTGATAACACTCCAAAGGTGAGAGGCTTTATCTTTGATATCCTTTTCAGGCATATCAACCATGACATAGAAGAATAGAAATCAACAAATACAGTTAATACTTATATCTTTCATTTTCAAATACTAGTATGGTTTTATTAGAACTGCTTTGGCTTGCTCTAATGATTAGCATTCTTTGGATATACTGTCTCTTTGGGCTTTTCACTTCTGATTTATGCATCCTGTTATTCAAGCACATCATAATTACCTTTTTTACATTTTTGAATAATTTTTTTTCCAGTTTAACACCTCTACTGAACAGAAACCTATTTGTTTGTTTCATTTTGCCAGACTTCATTAAAATTAATTAATTTGATATCATGGTAAAAGATATTTACCCTGTAGAGGCTGGCAGACATGTAGAATATTCCAATGAAGGTGAGGTGAGACTACCCTTTGAAAGAGCAATAAGCATAATCACCCTCTTTATATTACTGATAAACCTTTGAACTTGATGACTTATCAGTGTGTTGTCCATAAAATATAGTTCTGTACATATGTACCCATATTAGCATGGCTTTATGGTGATCTCTGGCTGGTTAAACACCGAATCAGAAATGATTGTTCCTAGTAAGAGGGGGATATTCTGGCCATTGTGCACAGGGTAAAAGTGAGACAAAAATAGCCACCAGATTCAGACACAGCATGGCTCAATTAGATATTCTAGGATCAAAATATTCCTGCCACAACCATAAACATTTTCAGTTTTTGCATTTACCTGATATTAGATACTGAGTGGATATCCTGCAGGTATACCTACCTACATGTAGAAGCCTTTCCTGTATTTATTTTCAACCATATAACATATTTTTTGATTCTATTATTAATTTCTGTCTCAGGTATTTTACTATAAGTAAATATTTAGAAACACATAAGAAATGTTGTTCAACTTTATTTAATTTTTGAATTTTGAATTATTCTGACAATTAGAAGGTTGTGTTTAATCAAAGGCTGACTAAAGAAAGAATGATGTTTGTCAGATACTGTACCTTTGAATCACATCTCAAATCAGTTAAAACACATACTAAAATTATCTTGTCCCTTATTTATCGAGTATCCATAGATGATATTCATTAAACATCAGAAAACTATTATTTGAATATATCTCAAAATGTGAAGTTATATTTGAATATATTGAACTTGATACTTATACTAAGTTCAAAACCCATAATGTTCCCCAAGTGTTCCAAGTGCAAAATGTTTCATTATTTCCAGATTAAGTTAATATTATTGCATCATTAGGTTGATTAGTGGACAGCAGAGGGTAATTAGTGAAGTATATAGAAGTATAGCACAATATATGGAGAGAGGTTTCTAACGTCATTACCCTAATACCACTGGCTAGTAGTACACTAACCTCTGACTGGGAGTGACAACTTTACACTCTGGGATTTGATCAATCAATGGGCACTATGGATATACATGTATGCTTCTTATATGTTTAGCTTTATAAATTCGATCCATAATTCTGAATAATGACAGGTACTGATTGGTTCTCTGAGTTCAGAGTTTATCAATTGTGTAAAGAGTGTCAGGCATGTCAATCAGTCTTGTAGAGGGTATGACGTCAGTAGATCAGGAACTGCATTCTAGCCAGATAGTAAGTGAGAACAGACACACTTGGCCGAAATATCTTCTCAGTCTTAGAACTAGTCAAATCAATGCTAATATTGAAAAGGGGATTTTATACCATAAGATGGCCTATTTATTTGTTTTTCTCTCCTGTAAAAGAGAGTTTCATCTACTAAGGTAGTGCAGCAAGCCTATGGGCTTCAAGACCATCATATTGTGATCTCCCCAGCATTAAAGCAAGTTGGTGTTGCACCTACTTGAGATTTGAAAATACGAGAATGCAATTGAGAATCTATTTGTACACACATTTGAAAATTGGAAAATCAGGAAAAATTGGCATACTTGATGAAAAGATTCGAAGTAAATCACTACCATACTTTTGTCTTTTTCTACACTCCAAATATTGTTACAATGTTATATTGTCTACATTTCACAGGAATTAGTCTAATTATTAGAATAATTTTGATTTGAATTTGAGGCGATTGACTCTTAATTCACACAAATGTTTTATTTATAAATTGTACAACCTGGTTTCGATTTATGTTTTTTTATGAATTGGTTGATATCTTTTATTTGATTTGCATGTGATTGTTTTATTCAAATGTTACCCCTTCTCTGGTCTTTGATTCTAATATGTTAGGAAATACAGGGATGTATCTCATACTTGAGTGGGTTTGGGGTAGATATGACCCGGGAATATATATCGTATCTGAGGAGCGGGCAGGATATATTGTATTTGTCCCGCTCAAGGCCAAATGCGGGCAGATATAATATATCCATCCCACTCCTGGGAATTTTTCAAAAGTTTAAAAAAGTTTAAATATCAAAAGTTTTAATTTTTTAATTTTAAAATTAAAATGTTTTAAGTTTAAATGTTACAATTTCATTGTATTGAACAAAAAGAATATTACGAAAATGTTCAATATAAATATCTTGTCATCTGAAAAAGGTGCAAAAGGTTATATCTACCCTAAACCCACTCAAGCATGAGATACACCAGTTATGCACGGTTGGTTTGGATACATGGAATATCCCTTGGGATATTTCCTGTATCCAAAACCTCCCAGTGCATAACCCCTATATACGTACTGTCTTATATCACATCATCATACTGATCATATCCACACTAGATTAAAGCATACCTTACATTCTGTAGGCTTAAAAAACAATTTAGATAAATACACACCTTTTTTAAAACATTTTCTGAATAATCTAATGATATTGATTTCATGAACATATAACAGATCCTTTTCAAATGGGTATGTTAACTTGATATCTTATTAATTTGGAAATATTCCAGTGGAATGGAGGTCCATTATTTATTTTATGAGCATGAATTCTTGAGATATTATGATCTTGGTTTTGGAAATATCAATTTTATCTACTACATGTATATACTTATACATATACCTACTTTTACATTATGCAAATAAGTTTTTTATCATCCCTGATACATCTAGTAATTTATTACAAGGGTACTAGTCCAATTAACAAGTTATCATGTTTTTAAAGGATCACGTTTCATTTAATGCTGCTACCCACTGATATATCTGCTGTCTGGAGCTCACTAATTAAAGGTTCTATGAATTGATAGATTTGATACATATCCCTCATAAAGTATATAATACTATTTGATCTTTCCAAATATTTAAGTCCCAGCATGGATATACATGGACTTATTTTTTAGAGATGAGATTAGTCTCGCATTCTCTAAAGAGAGACAGTAAGAAATTCGATTGAAACCAGAGAATTTTTCGTTTTTTGCCACCTTTTGACATTTTATTACATACCTATACAACTTTAGGAGCTCAACTTAGAATCAGATGGCAGAGATCATTTCTACACATTTTAGTATTTTTTTGAGCAAATTGAATGAAAATTGTTCAAATAAAAGCAATTCTAGTGAACAATTTTGTGACAGATTTTCTCGTCACTCTGGGTTTCAAGGTCATTTCTGAGGTGACAAGAAATCTCGTCACTCCAGGTAGTCAAGAGGTTAACAGGGGATTGTTTTCTTTTTATCTAACATTATCCTTTGTTTTTTTCAATCAACACTAATATCACAGTAGTTTTATCCGATACAGCTGGGCAATGTTCTCTTTCATAGTTTATAAATCTAAACTGAATTCTAGCTTGTGTTTTATTACAAGATTGATTATCTAATATCTCCAGTCAGTATGAACTCTTAAAGTAAGTCCCATGTTGAAAAGCGTAATGGTTACATATAATACCAGTATCTACATCAGGCCAGAGAGATTAATACCCTGTAATCCAATGGGTTACCTATGCTACCCTCTTACTATTTCAAATGATTTTCATATTAGATGCTGATTTTTGAGTGTGAGTTTTGAGTGTGAAATAAATATTATTTTGACTTTCTCAATATATGACTATATGGAAAAAGACATTTCCATGCAAATGTCACCACCTGCCATTTGTTATTGTTGCAGAAGCCGACCCGCAGAACACCAACCGCCATCCAAAATGGTGACAAAATAAGCTTATTGGGTATATCAATGAATGATCTCGAATTTAATGAGTGTAGGTCATGAATTGAAACTCTAATGAAGAGTAATAGAATATCTAACTAAGATGAAGGAATTGTTACACTTTACTGGCACATTCTCAAATGTTTCACATCAGGGGTCTTCATTTAACCATTTAGCAGATCATCTGGTAAGAAGATGATTCGATTCAACACCTCAATAAACAAACTGTTACTGAGTAGTATCTTAATTTTGTCTGTCAGATTTACTCCTGATTCGATCATCTTAATCCATGTTCCATTGTGTGTATTACTTTTGATTTCATTAACTTTTTCTTTCATGAGTGAGGTCTTTCTGAAGCTATCTCCTCCACAAGGGATGATTCTATCCAACTAGCACCCAGCAGGGCTCTATCTAAAGATTATTCCACATGTCTGGCATTGCCATTTTGATACAGATCATGCATGATTGTGTTATTTCCTAAGATTAAAAGACTGTAGATAGTGTTGATACTGGTCCATTTATCTTATCCCAGCTAGAGCAATGTTGGTAGCAATTCTCAGTGATCTCCCTAGGATTTTTTCTCAGGTGGGTGCAAACTCTCATTTTCACAATTTAGACCAATTTTGATAAAAATATGCCAATTTTTCATGATTTTTTCTCATTTTCAGATGGGTGAAGCCTATTTTCAAAATCCCAGGTGGGTGCTGCACCCACTTGCTTTAATGCTGGGGAGATCACTGAACTCTTATGATATGGCTTTCATATAGCTCTCCTAAAGGAAATGTTTCCTTACCTTGCCTGTCCTTGTTGTGTACAGTTGCTTGTGTTTGCTGGTAGTAAGAACCTGTTCTGTCAGTCTGCCATCAACCTCCCCCTGCAGAAAAGTGAAATGTATGCAAGTACAAGGCACACAGTGAACAATATTGCACATAATAATCATTAAAGTGGCCAACTTAACATTTAGCAAGCATGCCCAAAAACTAACAAGTTCTCATTTTCCAAAATGAGAAAGTGATGAAAATCAATCCATCAAGCAGTTTGTCACTAAATGTGCTGACAAGAAAAGTGACATACTGCTGCTCATATACTTAATGACAATATTGTACCTTTTCAAGGTATGACAAAAATAATCTGATTCCGGACATCTTGTAAATTCTAAATATATTCAATATACTGTTCATCATGTATACATAAATATGTTTTACTTTCCGAAAAGGCATGAGATGAAGGCTCTTTAATAGCGTAACAATGAGAGTACATGTACTTTAGAAATTACCATGTACCTCTTTTATCTTCTACAAAGACAAGTGGCAAAGTTGAATAAAAAATCTCAGGGGAATACAAAAATAACAAGACAAGTGGCAAAGTTGCAAAAATAGTATCAGATTCTTAGGTTGGTGGATACAAAAATAACTGGATTATAAACCTAAATCTTAACATAGGAAACCATGTGTATTTCTTGACATGAATCCATTGAGATATTCTCAGGGTCAAGCCCTGAAGGGTACTATACTAGTATTTCAACATATGTTTTGAAAATGATTCCCTCTATCCCTCTTGCTCTCTGATAAGAGTTTCTTCAACGATTGTCTCACTTTCCTAATGTTTTTACTACTAGCCTCAAAGCCAACAGGATAGTTTGAGATATAGCATGTTTGAAATATCATTTTATTCACAGTAATTTAACATTATTAATCTAATTAATGAATGTAACTCTTATTAATTGTATAACTTTATCAACCAAAGCTGATATATATTTATAGGTGATTTGACTGGTAAGTTCAAATCAAGTTCTTGCATTCCTAATGAATTTTTCAGCAGCCAAACTTCAGTAAACTGGCATTTCCTTATCTTCCCTTTCATTTAATTACTGCTTGATTTCTACATAAGTGCTTCTAGATAAACATAGAAACATTAAAATACTGCAAAATAATCCAGTAGTAGATACCCAGTTCTAGCCCACATAGAATATGTGCATATTATCCTCTGATACTTAAAAATGGTTGTAAAGTTTTGATACTAATGAGATCTTAACCATCTCAAATGTAATTTTCATGTTTTTCATGTATGGTCTTTGATCACAGTTTGAATTTGAAATAAGCTGTTTATAAGCAGAAAATATGTTATCTTCATTTTCTGATGTCTTATTCTGATTGGACATAAAGGTACACCACTGATATCGAAGAATGATTTCTCATTTAAAGAGGGCAATTAGAGTCAAGCTCTGGCAAAGGATAGGTAGTAGAGTACATTGTAATACAATCAACCATGTACTGGACTGAGCAAAAGCTGCAATTCTGCAAAAATGGAGTACATAAGTGGGCCCAATAGTATATAACCTTCATCAGTATAAGAATTCATTTTCCATTTTCACACTGAGTTAGAAGCTAGATTGGGTATTTTCGGACCACATGAGATCTTTTTTCAATTTTGTAGATAAAGCTGAAGATCTCCATGCAGTGTTTATATTGGATATGTTCTCTTCAAGGAATATTTCAAGATGTTCATCCAGTAGAGGTCATAGTATTATTTTCAATCCATGGTACACAAACATGGAACATCCTGGGTATTATTTCACATTAGGTACCTCCCCTCTGACATCCCCCTCTTCTTTTATACTTTACATGTGCCTACCAATATGACGAATTTGAAAAACTGTGACTTTCTCTGGCGTAGCCAGGATAAGGCAGGCGCTTTTTAACATCCTTTGAGAAATGTTCCTCTAGCAATTAGTTGTTAATTAATTTTATAACTTTTATTGATTTTTAACCTTAAATCATCAATTTTTGATTTAATCTCATTACGTAAGGTTTGTCATGATGTTCTTCTATTGCCAAGTAAGCGAGGCAAGGTTTGAACATTTTTTTGCCTCCTCGCTTTTTTCTACCTGGCTACCTGGCTACATCACTGGCTTTCCCTCCATGCTAGACCTAATTTGCCTCCAAGAACGGCCTATTTCATATGCTGATATTAGTATTTGCCTCTTTTAATGACCAATATTTATGTTTGGCTCTTTTATAACTGTCCTATATTTATATATGCCTCTTTTATCTGGGAAGCACAATATATAATTTATGTAACTTTTCTGACCTTCTGACCAACTCTTTGGCTTAATATTTACCATATGCACATGATGTCTATGGGTTAATCCACACATTTTACATTTTACAAACACATTTATTGCTTGATGAAGAACTTTTATGAAAAAAGATATTGCTTATTTGAATATCCTTCAAAAAATTGTTTTTGTCTAAAAGAACTTACATTAATATAAATCTAATGTCCCAATCAATTGATTCTTGACTTGTTATATAGACCCTGGCAACCAAACTCATGACAAAAACTCCATCTTACCTTTAAATAAAATCCATGATTTACCTATGAACCCAGGTGAACAATATCCAAGTGAACTCCTATACTCCAACAACAGAAGTTCTCCAATGTTATTGATAGAAATTGAAAGTTCTCTCCCCAGCTGGCCAGATGTCCTGCTAGCAAGCTGTTGATTATATTCAATGCTATTTAGGGCTGGTTCATTAATCCTGGTAAGACTTGGGTTTCAACTTTGATCTCTGCTGCCTATAGATAGGTAGGTGCATCCACTGGCCAGTTTAAAATGTAACAGTTGAGATTTGTAAAATCAGGAAAACCCTGAATTGCCATAAGTTAGTCACACTATCCTCTGATTATTTTACAGTTTTGATGTTTATGAGAACTTAATGAGCTCAAATGTACTTGCAGATTTTTGGAAGTTTGAAAGTGAAAGCTATTTACTCATCTATAGAAAAAATGTATTGTCATTACTTTTTGACTGTAATTTCTCATTAGATATATAGGCTATGTCAAAAAATTGCCTCTCATCTAAAGAGAGCCGATGAAGTCAAGCTCTCTTGATGGGTGTAGGTACCCTGAGACTCAGGGGTATGACAGTCAATATTATTGATATTAAAGGTCCAATTTGGATTATTCTGATCTTGATTCTCATGATTTTATTTTCACTGAATTCAAAGCAATAATAAGGGTGTTGACAGAATCAACATCAGGTGAGGCAAGTTAAAACAAGCATCGAAAAGGCTAAAGTAGGTTTATTTTTAATTTTTATTTTCAGTTTAGCTGAAAAAAGTCTAAATTAATATAAATTTGCAAAAGTTTGATGAAGTGGTTGCCTCCATACATAATGTCTGGCTAGACCCTTGAATAAAGTAAAATATTATAACTTGTAAACAACTTTTTGGACTGAATCTACAACATGATGTACATGTAAATCAGGAGATGACCCTCCTCTACCAGAAATTAAATTATCAGGTCAGTTCTATCTCTAGCTCTGGCAAAAGATCAGATGTTATGCTATATAGTTTTGCCTCGATCACTCAACTTGTTTTTGGTTTCAATTTCTTGAGAATTAAGTGCAAGTTACAAGTCTGCACCTAACAGCCTAGCCTACCGCTCATGTAATTGATCGAAGAAAGATCAATTAAAGGTGAATTGATAATTATTCAAGCGCCATCTTTATAAGGAAGCTAGTGGAATATGTATGACAACGAGGAAACAAACTCTCATGAAATAAATGTGTTCATAGGTTGCCCAAAACATGTACTTACATTTAACCAAGGGTGACACAGTGCCTCTTTTACAGTCATGCGTTTCTTCTTGTCCACAACAAGTAGTGATTCAATAAAGTCCACACACTCTTCAGATACACTGGACCAACACTCATCATCAAAGTCTACTCTGCCACTCTGGATCTTCTCATATATCTCTTGCTGAGAGTCAGCACTGAATGGGGAGGAGCCACTCAATCTACAACACAACAGGATGAGGTTTGATGTAAAAATTGTGAGATTTTTAATAATATTTTTGTTTCAATGCTGAGTTGTTATTGTGTTATATTATTTCAAAGTAGCATGTTCCAGTTGTACCAGGATTTGGCAATACATATGAATGTAGCACAGGGTAGAGGGTCTATTAATCCTCTTGGGTATGAGCTGTACAAGGTCTGATTTAAACTACCCTGGATTATCAATAAAAATGTAAGTTGAGATATGTTCACTCACAACACATAGGTGAGCACACCCAGGGACCACATATCAGTGCAGAAACTGACAGGCTCATGATCGATGATCTCTGGAGCGCAGTACTCTGCGGTGTCCCAGAGAGCCTTCACCTTCCTGCGTGGATCGACGTACTGTGCCAGGCCAAAGTCTGTCAGCTTTACTTCCTTGCTATGCTTTGTCACACATAGAATGTTTTCAAGCTGAAAGAAATCATGGAGATCACTGAATGCATTCAAAAAGTAAAATATAAATATTACATCTGTGAATCCCTACAAAATGAGCTGAAAGAGAGAGAAAATTCAAATCTAATTTTGTATACTTTTATGTACCTTTAGATCCAGGTGAATGACATTATTGTTGTGCATGTGCTCTAACGCCTGGCAGACCTGCCTGATATTGTGAATACAGTCCACCTCAGTGAGCTGGTAGTCTTCTCTGGTGAGTCTCCCAAGTAGATTCTCACCTGATACACTGTAATATCAGAACATATGATGATCATTCAAGTTGACTATGCCTGAATTGAGGCAAAGGGACTAGGTTACAATGTAATAAGAGTATATGATCTTGTAAGGCAAAACAATTTACACAATTTAACACAAAAATCAACATTTTGCAAAGGGAAACTATATCTGACCTTTCATTCAACATCTAGCTATCTACAAAATGTATAAAACTATAAATGAGGCAAAAATCAAATGTAAAACAGATTGGATCCGGAAGCATTGCTCCCACTCATTTACACTACGACCATGTGAGTACATGTATATGTTGTTCCTGGAGATCATATAATTACTTAGTACTTACAATTCTACAATAAGGACCATCTCATTAGTTGTTTCAAAAGCCTCATGTAGCTGTAATATTCTGGGATGATGGAGACTATTCATCACATCTATCTCACGCTTTATCAAATCCTTGGATGCATCGTCACATTTTGTGAACTTAGCTGCCCAGGTTCTGTTTGTTAACTTTTCTACTGCTCTGTGTACTGTGCCAAATGCACCACTGAAACATAACAGATACACAATTCAAAATATGATTTATTCTTATCCAAGGATAATTCAAATTTGAATTATAATACCGCCTTATATGTAGTTAATGATTAGTTAATGAAAACACAAAAGGGTGTGTTCGATGAACCACACATTTTAATCAATTTTTTTCTCTTGTTATCCTGGTATACCTTAGTTAAAGCAATATGTCCAATTGAATATGAACTTTATTGGGTTATTATACGTAGACATCTGCAATGTCCCATTTGACATGAAACATTTTTGAAACAAAAATCACAAAATGAGGTCAAGGAAGGTCAAACAAGGTCACTTGAAAGTCCAAGTTTTAGGTCAGAGAAGTTTTGAAAGATTTAAAAGGTCACATATATGGCCTCTTACCTTCCTAACTGTTCATGGATGATGTATTTCACCAAAGGATCTTGCCGAAGGAAGTCAATGTCAACTGTTCTGTAGATATTGTGATCCCGAATCACTGCAGTAATTAAATATTTATCATATTAATATCAATACAAAATGCATTTGACAGACAAGAGAAGATGATACAGTTTAACAAGGCATTAACATGTAAATGTCACCACCTGCCATTTGTTACAGACACTAAACACCAATCGCCAAACCACCAAACAACATCCACAAAAAAGTTGGATACTATAACCAAATTTTTCAGAAATGATTCAGGCTTAACCCATCAACACAAAAATTATGTGTTTTGAAATTAACAACACATCTATTTTAGCAATAGCCAAATAAAAAACTAAAATGCTTCAAACCCATGGAGTCATATCTGTGATCTAGCTTGGGCTCCTGAGTGAGTACACTGTCTGAAGGCTGACTAGGTTCCCCCAGACCATACAAGTTCTCCGCCCTCACTCTGAACTCATACTCTACATTCTCCAATAACCTCCGTATGGTGTATTTAGTATATCGAGTCGCAGACACAAACAGCCAATCAGATGTACCAATTTCACGTTTTTCTACGACATAATTGATTATAACCGAGCCTCCATCTTGGATGGGTTCCTGCCATTTAAGAGTCACAGAATCATGGTGAACCTCAATTATTTCTGGTTTGTCTTGTGGTGGATCGGGGTGATCTGAAGAAGAAGAAGGTTCAATGCAATGTGTGATATAATATAATAAAATTGAGTGTTTAGTAAAAATTGTACATCTACAAAACAGACGGTCCTCATAACATTAGGCACATAAAGCGTTCATAACTAAAGTACTCAAATAACTTAAACTCAACAAGGTACAGAAAGATGCTTTGCAAGGTTCACTACAAGGTACTTCAAAAAATGCTCAACTATGTACTCAAAACTAGATATTCTATTCAATTATCTATTCAAGAACTCAAATATGTACTCTATTCAACTACATACTCAAATAATTAACTAAGTCTTCTTGTTCAAATGTGTATTGAAATATGCAACTTTATTCTCTTTGTACTCAAATACTTTGCTAGGTTCTCTATTCAACTATGTACAGAAATATTCAAAAAGGTACTCTTATACAAGTATCTATTGATTCTATTCAAATGCTCAATTAGATACTTTATTCAAATATTTATTCATGTACTCAACCAGGTACTCTATTTGACTATGTATTGAAATACTCAACTAGGTACTCTGTTTGACTATGTATTCATGTACTCAACCAGATACTCTATTTGACTATGTATTCATGTACTCAACCAGATACTCTATTTGACTATGTATTCATGTACTCAACCAGATACTCTATTTGACTATGTATTCAAGTACTCAACTAGGTACTCTGTTTGACTATGTATTTGTACTCAACTAGCTATTCTTATTCTATGATATACTCACCTATTACAAAAACAGAGATACTGGTTTGGTCCACACCTAGATCATTCTCTACAGACAGAGTGTACCTTCCTGCATCTCCCTTCTCCACATCAGCCACTATAAGTGCTGTATACCACTCCCTTAGCTGTATGGTGACCCTATCCCCAGACTCAACAACCTCCTGGTCCCTGCACCAGGTCACTCTAGGTCTAGGGTAGGCCTCTATAGGGACTTTTAGCTTCATTGTGTCACCACGACTGAATGTCAATGTCTTGTGGAACCTTGGGTGTAGGTTGATCCTTGGGGGAACTGAAAATATAAGTGGAACTTGAATTTTGCATTCTGTTTAATCATATCATAAGATAATATTATAATTTCAAAAAAGAATTTTGACAAGCATTACTTTTATTCTACACAGAGAAGCAACAACAAAAATAGAAATTAATATAATTTCATTATTTGATATTCTCTACTTTTTCATTTGGGTTTCATTTCCTTGTGAAATCCTTTCACAAAATAGTGTTAAAATATTCTTCATAATATCCTTTTAAATAAAAACAATTCATGATTAAAAGTTCATAAATCACCAAGTATTGGATACCTAACAATGGTTTGAAAGGTAATTTTTCCTTAAAATGTGCAAAAGTTGAGAAATATAAGTTAGAAATTGACCTTTGTCACAGAAAATCAGTTTTTAAGATTGTCTTAGAGAGTGACCAGATCAGCTTGACCTTCAATTTGTAACACATGTAATACATTTCATTCCAAATATGGAAAGTGCAAAATTAGAGCTGTCAATCAAATCTGATAAAGTGAATTCAGCTCATTGATCATGATATTGATTTTCTATAAATCTATTTGTGGTATAATTCAAAGCTGATGAAAATGTTTAAATAAAAAATAAATAGGCCCTAATATTGATGAATACAATTAAGATCGGTAGAACAATTTTAACATTGATAAAGGTTGTTATGACCTATAATTTTATACTGGTAGGTCATTATGACATACATTGCATAAACTACTATTAATTCTGGTTTCAGGAAGACTGAAATAAACCAGTTTTCCTCTAATTGTTGAAGTATTTGATCAGGGTGAACTCTAACAATGTAATTAATTAATTAGTTGATACGTTTATTGATTGATTGCTTGGGTGATTCATTGCTTTTCAGTGTCCCTGTGATAACAAATGGGTAATACATTCATCATAGCTTAATCTGGAATGAGGGGGATATCTCATAATTCTTACATGAATTTATCTCCATATAAAGATTAACCTCCTTCTCTTTGACATGCAAAACAAAAATACAGGAAAACCTGTCTTAGAAGAACACCTTTAGTACCTCTAAAATTTGTTCCACTTGTGAGGTGTTCACGTAACATTAAGTCAATTGGTCTTGGACTCTGAAAAGTGTTCCACTTACAGAGGTGTTCCGCTTCTATACGTGTTCCACTTCACAGGTTTCACTGCACATCTATATATTGCTATTCTTACCATTAACAATTAATTGTGCTGTACATGTAGCATGTCCTGCCTTGTTGCTGGCCCGGCATTCAATATCTCCCATATCCTGCTTAGTCACATCTTTCACCACTAGGTGGTGCTGACTTCCATCTTTATCAATTTGAGTTTTGCGACCGTCATAAACTTCTCGGAAACCATGGTACCATACCACGCGTGGCTCTGGAACGCCATCTATTTGGCATGTAAAACTAGCCTTGGAACCCTGCTTTACGTGCACACTGTCAAGTCTCTCAGTAAACCGAGGAGCTTCAAGTACTACATAAAGGAAAAACATGTGATGTTTGTTAAATCAAATAAAACTAAAACTAAAAGTTTATTCAACAGTTAATTTAATTTAGTGTTTTGTTTAAAGGAATGGTCACATCATGATAGAACAACTGTATGGATCAAATAATAACAAGATAGTACAAATAAAATTATAAATAACTGAATGTAACTATTATTTATAGCTACATTCCCCAAAAAGCTCTGAAGATAGATTATTCTATGAGAGAAAAGACTGAACCGGTATTATGTAAGACATTCAATCATTGTTTACTTTCATTCTAATTGATTCATTATTTCAATTAAAAGTTAAGACAATGCATGAGATCAGATTTCCCAGACAAGTCCAGAGTTCAGCTCACAATTAACCCTTGCTATCATTGTTCTTCTGCATACATATTACTATGGACTAATTTGAAGGTTTAACTGATATCCATACACAGGGAAAGCATGGTGTTAAAATAAAAGTGAAAATATTTTCTCAGCAAAATGTTTCTAGTGGACATTAAATTGTTTGATAATTCTCTTCAATAGGATAAGCAAATCACAAATTGGCAAAAATATGTAGATGTTATTTTGAGGTATTTTGAGAACTTGAAAATGATACATTTTGACACTAGCGGAAAACCAAATGCTATTAATAATAAAGGAAAGGGAAAAACTGAATAGTAGGAAGAAACATAATTTCAATAAAGTTCCTGTTCATCCATAAAATATTTCTGAAATTCATTTTCTTTTTTAACAGCAACAGAGACTGGAAAAGTATTTTATCAACATGATATAAATGGAACCAAAAATAAAAACTTAGAGCATTTTGAACTAAAGATGGTAACTTGTCAAAATCAAAATTAACGGAATCTGAATTTTTTAGATGAACAATTCATTGATTACACAACAAGAGGAAATCATATTCAAATATCCTTAAAGACAGGGACACAGATCCTCATAAACATCACACTTCCTTGAAGTAGGAAGTTGAAATTATCAGTATCCCTATACTGGCAGGATAACTATGCCACGAGGAAGTGAACACTCATGATATAAATTAGGATAGAATTCTACATTCATTCACTTGGACAAAGGAACTTTTTGGGAAGGATGCAGTTTCAATATGGGACCCTGCTGATTAAATGGTAAGTCAATTGTTTAGTTAAAGGTCCACTATCTGCAATTCTGATGCAAAATGTTTTCAATTTTGAACAATATTTAACTTGCAACATAAATAGGCTTTACTATGAACCTTCTTTTCTGTACAGATTGAACAAATTGCTATTGTAGAAACTGAACATGTTAATATTGAAAAGGATCCAAATAGGAAAATTCAATTTTGGACCTGCTGCTATTTAATAACATTGTCCTTTTAAGCAACTTATTAGAGTGTCTTATATGATTTAAATTTAAATTTAAAAATCTTTTGAGATATGTATAAATATAATTGTAATTTATGTTACACATTCTTCTTAATAAAAATCTTAAGTGCCTTGCACATACATGCACCCACTCACCTATATTGTCTTTACACATAACATACTCTGACATTGGAGATGCATCACTGAGGCCTTCTATGTTCTCAGCATACACCCTGAACTCATATTCATTCCCTTCAATCAGGTTTTCTATTGTATAGGTACTAGTTTCTGGGCCCACAACATCCACTTTAATCCAGTACATTCCTCTAAGTTCTTTCCTCTCAATGATATAGGCAGTAGGTTTAGAGGTAGTTTCATAAGTAGAGGGACTCCATTGAATGGTCACATAGTCTCGGCCAACTTCAAAAATGTTTGGCTTTCCAGGAGGAGAACAGCGTTCTGTAATTCACACATCATGCAGCTTTGAGTACATGAAAATGTATTTTTTGAAAGTAGCATTAAATCAAACTCATGCATTTCCATACCCATTTTTTGATAGCCAGTCCAGAAAAATGGGAACCTGGGAAAGATTTTGTATTTAACTCAAATATATTCATCTTCACCAAGATTTTATTTTGCTAAAAATAAAAGATAAATAAATAAAAGAAAGTGTGTGGTTGGTGTACTTAGTGTAAAATAGTTATGCCACTGACACACATATATTGCATTTTTAATGCATATTGTATCAATGTTGTAAACTTCTTAAATTCTTAACTAGGGAAAGTAACCACTTAGTAAAACAGAAATTTTGAAACAAAATTGTAGAAAGCATTTATTCACTGAAAATATAATACTATCTCCATTCCAATTGATTTGAATGATTTTCCTTAGATTTACTATTTATCATATTTTGCATCAAGAATTTAAACAAATCGTCAAGGTTGGAAACTCAAACTGATAGAACATCTGTGTTTCACAAGATATATTTGAAATAGCCATGATTCAAAATCATACTTAATATTGTAAAAATGGGTATTATTTCCCTCTCAGCATCAATTGCAATGCAGGAAGTAAAATAAGGAAAACTGTCAGAGCAATTTGCAGTTATAGAATAATTATTTACTCAACATTATCAAAAGTTATTACTCTGTAATGTGCAAAGTAAAAGTTACATATACAGTAAACTCTGTGTCAATGGAACACCTTAGGGTACCTCAAAATAGTGTTCCACTGGGAGGTGTTGCACATGCAGAGTTTCAGTTTAGTTGATGGGCAAGAAGACTTTGAAAAGTACTCCACTTATTGAGTTATTTCACTTTCAGAGTTGTTCCACTTTGCAGGTTTTACTGTACATTTATTCTTAAGGATTTAACCCCTGGAATTGTGGACTGAATCATTCCTCAAGAAGGTGTTGTTTCAAGCTTGGGACAAGGCTTGCAGTATTAAGTGCAAAGTTTAGGAAACAACGTCTGAGTACAATGAGTCAGCCACAACGCATTGAGTCTTGGCTTGAATTCCTTTTACACATACAAGGGTCGATCATAAAGTTTCTTACAGTTGGGTCTAGATTTCATAATAAGAGAAGTTGGATGCTCAAACTTTAACACAAGACAGGGTAGTTAGTTTGCTTGAAATTGGTTTATTGGTAGTGACACAGAGTCAATAATGTTTTCAATGACTGAGTTAGGTGGAGCAGCATTATTCAAAAAAAATCTGCTAAGCTGCGGTTCAAGCAAACTTACTGCCCTGTCTCGGTATGAAGTTTGAGAATCCAACTCCTCTTATTATAAAATCTAGAGCCAATGGTATGAAATTTTTTGATCGACCATTGTAGCAAAATATTTTCTGCAAGGGTCAAGTTGGCAAAGTATCAATTTCAATATGTAGACTAAAGTTGTCACCTTGACAACCATTGAACAAATGACCTTGGGTGGTTTGCTGGTCATATAATGCAGTGCAGTTATATGAAATACTGTGTTCAGATTGGCTCAAATCGGACATACCTTGCCTAGCTGTGTAAATACTGTATTAATGATTTGGGATTAAGACACTGCCTCAATATGATTAAGTCATCGCTATCTTCAAGGGGTACATCATTCAATACCAATCATCAGTACATGTATTATGTTTGATTAAGTACAGGTTTAGATGTGATACATTGGCCACTGTGCATTAAAAAGCTTAAGGCTATATAAATAGGGGATTTTTTATCAGGAAGCATGAAGGGGCACCTTGTTATTTGTATAAAAACAAATAAACAGATATCTAAGTAGAATTTCTTATTCTGATATCATATTTTGAATTAGTAAAATGGTCATGTATCTATTTTTATTCATTCACATGTAGAGGTATACGTACGTATTTGGCGTATTTTATGCATCACACTTGAACTTACAATATAACAAACAAGCCATTATTTGAATAATAAAATCAACATAACACATCATATAAAGGAAGCTGAGGTTTTTATTTTCATTAATATTAGACCAAAAGAATAGCATCTATAGGAAAGATGTAAATAATCAACCCATCACCCAGACTGAATCTAAGTGAACAATATACATTAGCAAATAACAAACTATATTTGGGTGAGAGGTAAAAAACAATTACAGATTGATAGCATGAAGTAAATTATAAGTGAGGGTCGAAAGTTGCCCCTTTTCCCTAGCTTTTACCCACTATAAAATTTCAACATTCACTCTTTTCAAACATAAGCTAAAAATGAACTGTGGCTTTCAATTCCAAAAAGGAATCCCAAAAGGGATATGAAAGGACATATTGCACATTTTATTTGAAAATATCACATTGTAATAAATAAATACCACAATATACAAAATTGGTACTGAACCATATTCAAGAAAAATAATACACTGTATATGTTGATAGCAGGTAGAGCCTTAAGGGGTCCTTTGGGATTTGTCAATAAAATGTATCTGGAGTAGAAAAGTGTAGTTAGGTGGGGGAATCGAAAAC